CCTTGCCGGTAATCCTTGTGGATTCTACCGACGAAACTCTTGCTGCTGCCGACGGAACTCTCGTCGTGCGGCTTGGATGCAGTATCCTCTCGCGTCGTCGCGATGCTGTCGATCCTTCGACAGTCTTCCTTCACTCGTGTGCCTTCAGTTCCACCGAAGGGCTTCTCTTGTTGCTGTCGTTGACAGTCTCCTGTACTCGCGTCGTCGCTATCCGTCCTCGGATCCTCGCGTCGTCGCGGTCGTTGCTGTCGTTGCTGTCGATCCTTCGACAGGCTTGGTCTCTATCGATCTTGTTCTCGCGTCGTGGTCTTCCTCTCGCGTCGCGATCTTCCTCCTGCTACCGTTCACTCGATAGGCTCCTCGTCGATAGTAGACCGCTTTTTCAGTAGTATGTTAGTTGCTCTAAGCTCTCTTCTAGTTTACTTGCTATTGAGATACTACTGAAAAAGTGGGTGGGCTCTGTATTTCTACTGTGAAATTCTAGTACAGAGGTACAGGGGTTGAATCCCTAATCGCGAATCCCCAACAGTTTTGTGGTTCCTGTTGCTGTTGAGGTTGACTGCATGCCAAGTCAACCTTCGCATCCATGCGATTACTAAAGTATTACCATGTCAGAAAGATGACTTGGGGAAGAATGTTGCAGAAACGATGCCTGTTGGCCATGGCTATCATTGCTGTGCCCAGCTGGGACTCTCACGCTGCGTTGGTTGCGTTGGTGCCTACATTCCATCGTGCCCGGTGGACAACCAAGCGACCAAGTTCCTGCCGTCGTCGCTTGGATTCATCTTGCTGGTCGGATGACATCAATGACAATACGTCCGGACCATCGGCCATCCGGTCCCAATCACCCAGCCCCACCAACGCCACCGCACTGCAAATGGTTTCCTTTTATCGCTTTTTCGATACAGCCACCTGCAAGGAAACTCTCCGAGACACCGTCTTTGACGCATTCCGTGAAATGGTGCCAGGAATTCGGGGCACTCTCTACATTGCCAATGAAGGCATCAATGGACAATTTGCAGTGCCCGTGAATGTCGTCGATGCCTTTGTGACAGTTTGTACGCAACATCACCTGGTGGAACAGACAATCGACGATCTGAATTGGGGAGGTGTCCTTCCGATCGAGACGCCCACCTTTCAGAAACTCGTGGTGCGAACGAGAGATGTGATTCTGAGAGATGGATTATCCAATCATGATTCTTTGAATTGGAACCACGCGGGAGAGGAACTCACACCCGCCGAATGGGACCACCAATTGCGACGACAATCATCACAATCACTACGCCTAATTGATTGTCGCAATGAGTACGAAACTCGACAGGGAACCTTTCAAGACGCCATTCCCTTGAATACCACCACCTTTTCCGAATCCTGGCCGGTGCTGCAACAGCAATTCGCCACGGGACAGCACAACAAAGAGGAACCCGTCTACATTTATTGCACGGGAGGTATTCGATGTGTCAAAGTGGGTGCCTACATGACTCAAACACTCGGATTTACCAATGTCAAGCGATTGAAACATGGGATTATTGGCTATCAAAAGTGGCATCATCAACAACAAGAAACAAAAGAACAACCAGATGTTTCTTCGTTGTGGCAAGGCGACAACTTTTTGTTCGACAAACGACGGTTTGGTGGAAGAATAAACTGACAAATAGGAGAAAACGACAGCTACAGTAGTGCCGGAGGATACGAGCAGGAAGACACAAGGAACGCATGTGGCGACCATGAGGCAGCTCTGGTACAAAACCAGAGGGCTTTTGACATTTTTGAATCCAGCTACGGAAAGCAGAGTCCGCCATCGGCGACTTTTTACAGCAGTATCGAAGCGGCGTTGGAGGCAAAAGGTGATTTGAGAGGCTCTTTACAGAAGTACCAGTTTGCTCTGAGTATTCGAAGGTCTATGTTTGGAGATGACCACCCTTGCACGAAAGAGACAATCAACTCGACCGAAGAGCTTTCACGAGAACAAGGGTCCATCGAAACATCAGGTGTGGAGCAAGAAGGACAATCGGCAGGGACTCTGTAGCAGCGAGGGTATCTGAACACGCGACTCACTCTACCACAGAGTATCTGTGTTACATCAGGTAGCATACTTTGCAAATGATGTCAATCATATTATTTGGATGTGTGAACTATGAATCATGCGGTATCGGTACTCCGGCAGTGCAGTTTTTGCCTCTTGGCTTGTGATGTATGTCACCAGACCACTTCACGTTGCGTCGGAGACTCCGTGTCCGATCCGCGCTTGAGAGGCAACATACTCTTCTCTTCATCGTGAAATGGAGTTGTTTCCTCATCTCCCTGGTACGCAAAGGCGATCATGTCGTACGAGTTTTGGTGCGGTTTTTCAGTGTGCATGGATCGTTTCATGACAGTCACCAAGACTTGGACGAGCTTCAACCACATCACCAACAGTGGAACAAGCACTGACGTCAATGTTATCGGGGGGAGGCCTCCTGGCCATTTCTCTTGGTCGTCCCAACCCTTGACACCCATTACCATTACATGAATGGTTCCATACGCCAAAGCTACCCATGCAAGGGGGCCATATACCAATTGCCACTGTTTGTTGGTCATGTGGGATCCCACGGAAGGCAACGAACAGATGCCTAGTATCACATAGAACCCAGTTCCAAGAATTGCAAAGAAAAAAGAAGCCTCCCCAATGGAGTTCATCTTGGACGTATTCGCCTTGGGGTGAAGGTAGAACTTGCCATAATACGCAGGATTCAAGAGGAGTAGGCTTCATTGACAGAATACAAAGTGAGCACCAGCCAGGAAAACGTAGCCGAAGGGTTCTACTGCATCGTGTTGCCCTACCTCATCAAGATGTGAATGAAAAGGAACCACAACGATAATATGCCGACATGTTTCCGAATGCTGAGTGACCAAAGCAGCCACCGTGGCTTGTCGCTTAGGGAGTCGCTGTGGCTGACGTTGAACATTCTTGCCACCAGACCCGGGAGCTGAGCCCAAGCGAAACCATTCAGCGCAGTCCAGCAGATACCTTTGTTCGAGACCTGGATTGGTAAATGGAACCAGGCTTGGAGGCGCACTTAGTGTCAGCGGTGTGCTGTGAAAGTACCAGGACGCCAGCCCACAAGGTCGACTTACCATAGCCCTTGAAGACGTTGTAACGCAAGATGGCGTAGAACTCGCAAATGGCAAACAGGATCATCATCACCCAAGCTGCGTGAATCCATTCTTGTCCGAGAGAGTTTTGGTGCATTGCAATGTCATTGTAACGCTCGGGAGGGACGTTCTTGACGGTCATGCCAAAGGACTCCTCCGCAAAATACTGAACCAAGCCGAGAGCCTTCTTATGCGGAGAACACATAGTCGTGGCAACCCTGGTCTTGCTGTATGGTTTGTTGAGAAGAATATCCACGGCGCCGATATCGTTGAAAGCTTTCACCCATTCCACCTCAGTAAGGCGACACATTGAGCTGAGATCTTCGCCACGAACCGAGCTGTTGGTGACGTCGACCAAAATCTTGCTTCGCAAGAACTGAAAGTAGTTCGCAACGAAGCCCTTGAGCGCCTCGGCAGGGATAGCGAGGATGACGATGTCAGCTCGATCAATTGCTTCTTTGAAGCTTCCTAGACTGACGCCCGTATCATGGAAGGTGCGCTTTTCTTTCATCTCTAGCCCAGGCTTTGTGACTTCCAAGGTGTTCAGCATGAACTTGTTGTTGTTGCTGTAAAGGTGGGCCAGGCCATAGGCCATGTCTCCCGTTCCAACGATTGCACAGTGAAGCATTTTGCGGGCTTGAGGGCTGCAAGAGCTGCTTCGTCGTTTCTGAGGACCGCGGCTGGAGCTGCGTCGTCGGCGAGAGCTGCTTGTTTCTTCCATCAGAAAAACTTAAATTAATGAGGATGGAGATAAGTTGACGCAAAAGTTTCGAAGTTTTTTCGATCTTGTCAGATTGCCGCAAAAGATCTTCAGCTTGCCATCTGTGTCCAGCAACATGAAAGAATCTTGTAGACCCTTACTAAGCCTGAGGAGTTCTCTATTTCTACCGTATCCAGCAGCTGCCCCCGCACACTACAAATAGTTTGGCGTCTGACATTTATATTTTCGGCGGGACCAGTGAGATTTCGGCCAATCTTACCAATCAAGCAGCATAGGGCTTTTAGTAGTCTACAGGGAGCAACAAGGTTATCCGTTTCCTTCGCATCATTGAACGTGCATTCTTCATCAAGATAATAGAAAGCATCGCTATCTGTTTTGGGGCTTTTCCTAGAGCTAGCGGTACCGGTAGAGGCACACACATCCTGTACGAGTAGTAGCAGTGTAGCAGTCCTTTGTGCCGGTTGCGGTGGACCTGCGTATCGCAACGACATGGATGTTCGCATTCAGTGCTTGTAGGTCTTGATTTTTGGTATTTGAATCCTCTTCCAATGTTCCAGACTCTGGCAATCTTCATGTATGGTACCTATTAAAAGGAACATCGTGGTCTTCAGCACTGCAATGCTTTCTCGGAAGTTGGTGTGTTGAAGATCGTCACAACTTCGTGCCAATCTTCCAAGAATGAATGTCAAAACAGATTTCGAGGAGAGGTGCGCGATCCTTACTTAGACCAAGTCAATCCGGCCGTTCATCGTTGCTTGTTGCGGTCACGTCCTCACATTTTGTGTCGAAATGAGAATTTTGTTGGCAATGCAAAATCATGCCCACGACCTTCAACTTTTTGCTAAAATCGTATGACCTTCAAGTTGCTATTCTCTACCAGGTAGTAGCTAGCTAGAGAAAAGGAATAAACAAGATGACGTTCTGGACGGTATTACAATCTGCTGGAGTACTCCAAGCTGCTCATACATTCTTGCGCAATTATCTTCCGTGGCACCAATGGCCTGAGCCCTGGGGAGTTATCCCATTGGCATTGCATCGCGACCTACTAGAACAATACAACTTGTTTCCAGCTCCTGGAGTTGAACCACCAGCTCTGACCGCCTATGTGAATCAACTGAAACAATTCTCTTCGCCTTATCAGGGTCCTCCAGCTCGACCTGACAATGGTTTTGGTACCGACGTACGAATCCCCGCTGCCGGTGCTCGGGGGTCACCATTTGGCCGCAACTGTCCAGTCATGGCCAAATCACAACGTCTCAATGATGACCTTGATCCTCCTGTGCAACTGGTGGCACAAAAGCTATTGGCAAGAAGAACTGCCGATGAGTTTTATCCAGCTGGGATGCAATTGAACATTTTGGCTGCGGCTTGGATTCAATCGATGGTTCATGATTGGGTAGGTCACTACGATGACACGAGCGACGATGGAGAGGTTCGACTAGAGGAGGGTTCTACCCATGGTTGTCCTCTCGGATCCTTTTCATTTCGCAAAACCTTGGAGCGTCCCTACGATGACGCGTATGATTCGTTTCGGACGCACTGGTGGGATGCATCGTGGCTTTACGGGCAAAGTCGGGCCGCAGTGGAACACACCCGGGCTTTTCACGGAGGACGTGTACGAGTCAGCAATCTGTATCCAGATACCAAATTCGCCTCTCGTGATCATGCAACTGGAACTTACTATAATTCGACTGGAGATAATATGAACAGTTGGATTGGAGTGTCACTGTTGCAAGAGCTATTCTTGAAAGAACACAATGCAGTTGCCGATGAGATTCGTGCCAATCACCCTGAGATTGCCACTGACGATGACAAGGTATTTGGAATGGCTCGACTAGTCGTGAGTGCTGTGCTGGCTAAAATCCATACCGTCGATTGGACCATAGAGTTGCTGAAAACAAGAACCATGAAAGTGGCCATGTGGACAAACTGGTATGGCTTCCCCTACGCCTTGAGAGGGGCTTCTGCAACCATGCCAGAGTTTATCACTTCAATGATGCCTGATTTTTTAAAGAAAACAGGCAACGATACCATGGCAGACGATAAGGGCGTCCCCTTTTCCTTGACGGAGGAGTTCACAGCAGTCTACAGACTTCATCCCTTGCTTCCAGATCAGTTGATCGTTCACTTGGACGGTGACAATGACAACAATACACTAACAATCCCCATGATAGAACTGGTTGGCCCCGCTGGTGAGAGGGCGCTGCGAGCAGATCCCGAGCGACCAAGACAGTTTTGGGATGCCATCATGAGGTATCCCTGCGGCAATCTACAACTCCACAACTTTCCGCACACGCTCCGCAACTTGCACCCAACCGATGAACTTGGCCGAACCATTCCTCATCCAATTGATCTGGCAGCAGTGGATCTCTACAGAGATCGAGAACGAGGGATTCTTCGATTCAACAATTTCCGACGATCCATAAAGCTCCCCGCCTACAAGGACTTTTTCGATCTCACTGGCGACGAAACCTTGGCAGCAGAACTAGAGGAAGTTTACGGAGTAGATGGAATTGAACGATGTGATTTACAAGTGTGTCGCTTTGCAGAAAAGAAGCTGCCAGGGTTTGCCTTGTCTGAGACGAGCTTTACAATCTTCTTGGTCATGGCGACACGACGCCTCGAAGCGGATCCCTTCTTGCATCAGTACTACACAGAAGAGCATTATTCTGCCACTGGATTGGAGTGGGTAGAGGGCACAACCACTCTGAGGGACGTGCTGGCACGACATTATCCTGACTTGGTTCAAGACATAGGAGAGGATCAATCTGTCTTTACACCCCGCACTCCCTGGCCAGGACAAGAGGTAAATACAGACGACAGTGGAAGCAGCAGACGAAATCTTAGGTAGCAACCAACTGTCTGAGTTATCGCCTGCACCAACCTAGTGGCCTTCGCGGCCTCTGCTTCCTGAATAGGGCACAGACTCCCCCACTCCTCTGCACGTTTTTGGTGGGAATGCCCCGGTGCAGTTGTTGGTCTGACACCTCTAATCGACGGCGGAATGGAGGGTCAGCCAATCACGACCTGCTGTGCTCGGGCTGCCACCGTTTCGCCGGGCTGGGCGAACCACAGTGGAGCTGCGACGCAGAAAGACAAGAACTGGGTTTCTACAATGACCCGGAACATGTTGTACCAGTCGACCTGAAAGCTTTCTCGCACGAACTGGCAATTTTCCACAATCCGCTGGCTAGGTTCAACCGAACTATCACTCGAGTCTCTCGTATTCGAACCGGAAGGTGGTAGCTCACTTTCTGCAACCGAGCTGGACCAGTCCGCAAGCAACGATCGTGCCAAACCCCCTCTCTCATACGAGCACACGATTTCATGACTTTGTGCGCTTTTATGGTGAGAGGACTTGTGCCAGTTAGAGAGACATAGTACCTCGCTCCGAAACGGACTCTGCCCTGTCGGCAATGGCTAGGTACCACCAGTGCACCGATTCAATGATCTTAGTAGCAATCTGTTGGCTTGGTTTTTCGCTTGTACTGGTATCTTCTAGACCGGGTGGCCTCAACCCTCCTTGCTCGTACTTATCATACCGTACTCATGACAACTTACATTCGCATTCCAAACATCATCATTCCAAACATCTCTTTGATGGATCTCACCAGTGATGCCTGGGTAGACGCCTGTGGCAAATCCAAGGCAATCAAAAGAGAAAAAATCATTCAACATTCCTGTTACTGGGCCAAAGGTTGTTCGATCGTCTGCAGCGTACTGATGCACTCGTTGCCATAGTGTACCGAGTACTACTAGATAGAGTGGCGGTCAGCACGTGAACTGGTGCTACATGCAAGTCTCGGTGCTGGTTAAAACTGTTTATTGCACATAGATCACCGTTCATTTAATCGACAAGGAAAGTCGTCACGATCAGACATGAGACTTGCGTGATGCCGTTTAAGCATCAAGAGAACCAAGAACCAAAATGATTTATGTGAATGAAAAAGTCAAAGCTTGGGTTCAGACTTGTATACTCACCATGACATTATCAGTACACAAACAAAAACAGTCAATAGCTTAGGATGTCTTCGTTCGACCTGGGGAACAACACGACTGGGCATGACAAGGTCAGCAGATGGTACATACCAACAACCCTACTAAAACCTATAGTACGATCCGTTTACGGTATCAACAGTGAATGGGATTACTTTTCCGTTTCTCTACGCAATTGCAGTACCACAGATGTGTATGTTGGTTGTATACCAAAGGTTACCAGTTCGCGCGAGCGGCTCTGCACCTATCGGGTGCTGCCCATCATCCTCTTCTCATAATCTCCCACACTCAAAACCAAAAACAACGACTAAATCTAAAATCATACCCTCATTTATTCAGATCCTGAACACCAACATCCACAACACCAACACCAACACCAACATGAGCACGACTAATAGCAACAACAGCAGCTGGCCCTTGACAGGTATTACCAGGCCAGGCGACAACGATGTGGTCTGTGGTCGCGGAGGTGCTTCCATCCACCATCCCGCAACATTACCTACCGCAACATGGTCCGAGCTCATCAACGCAAGTACATCGGCTTTGATGACACTCGCCACATGAAGACCCTTCTTTCCCACCAGCTGGTCAAGGAATGGAGAAAGCAGAGTCCTCCTGGCCGCTTCCTCAAGAAGAACGAAGCCACTGGCCTTTGGGAAGATGTCGGCATCAAAGTGGCTCGCAGGAAAACCGCACAGCTCTTGCGCGAAGGCGCCAAGAAGCTTCGCGGTGAAATGCGTGCCAATGGCGAAATCTCCTCTTCGGATTCCGACGACGATTCCTCCTGTGCTCCTCCATCCGACCGACCTGCTGCCCAGGCTGTAAGCCCCGAACGCCCCATGGCCTTTATGGAATACGCCGCTGCCAATGGTTTGGGCTTGGAAAATGTGGTCTCTCCTTCTCCTTCTTTGGATAAGCCGAATTGTTCCATCCCTCCCTCCTGCCTTGTCGGTTCCTCTGCCGCCCATGAATGCTCCCCGTGACCCTTTTGAGGGCTTGAGCTGGGGTATTGAAATGGAACAACTAAGCCGAGACCTTCGCGCGTGTGTCCGCGATGGACGCGACATGCTCTATATGAACGGCCAACCAAAGTCCTCTCTCGAGGTGTTGGAAGTGATTTTGGAGCCAATTATGCCAACTAGCCAAATTGCATGAGACGGCAAAGGCGAAACCAATATTCTTTTGGATGTTACATACATATACAATGATAGAAACAGTAAACACAATAACAGTAAAACAGTGAAAACAACAAGCAAAACCATTAGTAGTTAGCATTAATTAATAGAAACATTAGCATACCGTACCGTACGGCACAGAGATGGGGAGCAACAAGCACATACCCCGAAAGACCTCCCCGTTCTTGGACTTATCCCTCAAGGATTCTAGATAGAGGCTACCTTAGAATCGAATCTTTACTATTCTATCCAGGCAGACATTTCTTTCTTTTCTTTTCTTTTCGTTACAATAGGTGTTAAAATTTGACAAACTCCAAACACAATCCGGACGCCGGTGCCACAGGAATCAGATCTGCCACTTGGTCGGATCCAGTCCAGATGGTTTGGTCCATATCGTCCAGAGTTTGTGCCCCCCTTCCCACTTCGACGAGAAATCCAATTAGATTTCGCACCATGGTCCGTCGAAATCGTTCTCCTTCGACGTAGAATTTGGCCAATACAATGTCGGCATAGGGTTTGTTGTTGTTGTTGTTGTTGTTGTTGGAGTCATTAATCAGATAGAGACTTGGCGGTGCATACTCTTTCAGAATTTCCATGTCGAATCGTGTAATGGTGAGTGTATTGTCCTTGTCTCTTCGAGCCTCTTTATGGACAAAGACGGAATAATCATGTGTCCCAAGCAATGCCTGACAAGCGGCTCTCAATTTGTCGTCCTGAAGGACAAAAGGACAGAGCCAGACACAAGGCGCGGCATCATCCAATGCCGTCCGAAAGGTTTGGGCTCCTACGGCGACTTCTGTATTGTTGGATGCTGCTCGTTGATATTTGAGGGTGTAACTGTACTGCTTGGATTTTGCCGAATGCCGCGGATCGAACAATTCGGGACCATCCACGGGAATGACTCTTTGAATGGAGATGTCAATGGGCAATCGACCGTGAATGGCGCGTTGAATTTGCCATGGTTCCAACAATGCTTGCTGGTTGTTGTTGTCTTTTGGTGGCACAAGTGCTTCTTCTGGCAATTGCACGGCCACGACTTGTCCGCGGGCATGAACTCCCTTGTCGGTTCGTCCCGCCACTCGCAAATTCAATTTTTCAAGCGTCCACAATAATGGTGAACTATTGCCAATCCAATGGAGAATGGCACTCTCAAGGCACTCTTGTACCGTCACAGTCTTGTGGTTGAATACCAACGGCGGTCGAACGCCAGTGACAGTGTCGACGCGAGGTCTCTTTTTCATGACCCCCACCACCTTGTTGCTACTATTATTACTCGTGTTAGTAGAAACGTTGGCATATTGACGTTGGAATCCATGGAACCGAGTACCATCGTAGCTGATAATCAGTATATATTGGCGGGGCATGGGTGCTGCAAAGGGCGAATAGATCGCGAGAGACAAACGACGGAGCGATGGCCATGGTCGGTCCTCTCGAGAGATGGATGATGGTTAGTTTGGATCTACTAGTATACGACTGAAACAGCAAGTCGTGGACATCCCTCTCTAGTCCAGTTCGGGATTGGCTGTTTTGACTCCCTCACGTCCCAGTCCACCTCTACCGTACCTCCGTAAAAATCATACCTAGTACATGTACCATACCGTACGGTAGATACCGGTACATGCCGGTACATATCCGGATAGCGTGCACAACCACCTCCGCTACTCACTGGTAGCTACTACTCCTAGCTAGTACATACCAGGTAGTACGCACGGGACAACCAGTACAGCTGTACAGGATGACTTCTTTTACCGCTGACAGGTGTCAAAATGGATTCTCGTTTTGGCCAAACCGAAATCAAAAGCGGTCATTTATAACAGAAGTGGTCATTTTGCGAATCCTGCATTGAAAAGAATGGATCCAAACAAAGTAAAGATGAAGAAATAAAATTGAATTTTATCACCATGGCAACAGTGTTGACCAAATGGCTATTAGCTTTACCAATACATTGAGATAGCTAATGCTTTCAAAGGACTAGCTCCCCAACACACTCACAGACACTCCCCTTGAAAAGCATTAGCTATCTCCAAGGTTTCCCATGGAGCCTCTATAAAAAACCAGGCTTGGATTGCATTTTGTTGTCATTTTGCCATGCATTTCTCCATGGGAAAGGTGCTCCTGTCCTCACTCTCAGCATTCAATCTTCACTCTAGAGTATGGTAGATGAGTGTGTGGCTTTGCATGAAGACTGGAGCACCCATCCCAAAGATTCAAAGGGGATTGTTGGCTTGATGACCACAAAATTGAGCAGATTTCCTGTTTGTTTGTTGTCGGTCAACCAGTCAATAGATGCCGCTTGTTCCTTTTGTAGTACCGTAGCACTAAAAGGAGCCTTCCATGTCGTGCGTCTGCCTGAAGAGTCGAGTCGTCGTAATCATGGTCGCTCTGTGTCGCTCCGTGGAAGAAGAAAGAAGTCATCAACCGAATCGAATCGATCCGTCGGCCGATCGCTCGAACGGCTGCCGCTGCCAAACAAACAAGAGGAGCCTGTCATGGTGGTGAGTAGTAGCCTTTGTTAAGAGGAGTAGCCGCTATAGCATCATCTTGATAGAGTAAAAGGAAGAGGTATCGAAACAATGAAAGAGGAAAGAGGTGTACGAGTGGCTTGGATCGATCGATCGATGGATCTGATTGATGTCAGTTGAGATTCAGGTTAAGGCTTTAAATCCCTTAAGTCTTTTCACAGAACGTTCTGGAAGTTCCGGTTCGCATTCGAATGTCTTACGACTGTACCGGTTGCGGGCTTGCGTTTGTCTCGATAGTTTGGATTCAGCCTGTACCTGCCACGTACAGAAGCCACGCAACATTGTAGTACCGGTCAGGGCAAATTTGGGAAAAAGAGAACGGAAGAGCTATGGAGCCGTTGGCGCTTTTGTTTGCTGCCTCCCTGAAAGGGGGTTTTAGAGTAGGGAGTTACCCACGGAGGCCACTTCTTTCGCAACAACGTACTACCGGTAGCTAGAACCAGTCCAGGCAATTTGACTGAAAGATAATCCACCTTTTGCATGCTTGCTGCCTTCATTTCTTTCCTCGTTCGAGTGTTGCCATGGTGACAGCTTCTGTCGTATCCGGCGACCGCTACACCACGGGGCGCGGCCCCAAGGTAACCATGATGTTTGCAGAGGATGTAGATTCCGATGACTCATTGGGAGAAACCTTTGGAGGCACAACCAAGACGGACGAAGTCAAGTCTCAGCTGACAGACCGATCCATTAACTCCACAACAGAGGAGGAGACAAAGTCTGTCTTTACCCGAGCCTTTGGGCGGGTCGTCAATCCATTGATTCAGGTGGTAGATCTGGATGGAGTCATTCGAAAAATTGACCTCAATGAGGTCGTCAGTCGTGTGGACTTCAACGACATTGTGGATACTGTGAGTTCCCATGTGACGATTCGAGTCTTTGTCATTACGATGACAGTCTTCTCGCTCTCCGTGCTTTTTCTCTGTTTTCTCTCTCAGGTCGACTGGAACAATCTTGCGGAACAGGTGGACTTTGATGCTATCTTTGCTAGGATTGATGTCAACGCACTCGTGGAGAGAATCGATGTCAATGCTGCCATCGAGAGATCCAACCTCAAGTCCATCATTGCCAGATCCAGTGAGTAGATCCCCTGCTTCCTCTAGCTAGTGACGATGGGATATCTTTATCTCACCCCCTTTTGCTATTCTGCCCCTACTGTGCTGCCCGACTATTGCAATAACAGCTACTGGAATCTGTTTTCTCGCTTTGGACTCCTTTCGCGCCGTGTGTATCAAAGCGGACCAAATTGTACAGCGCATGGGACGATGCGCCCAGTGCTTCTGGTGGCGACCTGACTATGGAAAGTGGCTTCTCCCTCCATTGCCTACTGTGACACCCATTACAGATACCATAAAACGACGTAAAGAACGCAGATTCCGTGCTACATTTATCAAGTGCCCCAGGAAGTCTTCCCACTTGGCCATCGCCGTGCAAGGTCGAAATGCCGGTGTGTGCACCCGGCTCTTGGCCTTTGCTATTGACAAAGGAATTGCCATTGGAGTTGGTATGCTCTTCATGCTAATCTTTCAACGAATCTACGAGACATGGGAATCCGTGTCACCTACTTCCACCAGCCCACCACAAATCAACAAAACATTGAACGATCCTCGCATTGCATGGGTCGTTGGAAACCAACTGATCAAAAGAGAGTTGACTCTTGGCGAGCTCCAGGCAAGTCTTTTTGAGATGCAAGCAGCCGAAGCAGAAACCGAACAACAGAGAGAAATGTTCCTGGTGGTGGGCCTGCCGATTATTGTGATTGTACTGTTTGGATTCATTACAGATGCATTCTGCCTATTTGTGGTTGGTAGGACCATCGGAAAGGTCGTGATGGGACTGATGGTCCTGAACTCTCATGGCGGAAAGGTGGCACATCTCACTCCCTACCAAGCCACAGCCCGTTCCTTTCTCACCAACCTCGGCATTCCAGCTGTGGTTGGTGCGTTTGTTTCGTTGATTCGAGAAGACCGTAGAGGAATCATTGACATTACCTGCAGTACAACTGTGATCTATGCTTGGGATGCCAAGAGGTATCGTCTTGCGGAGGATGACTTTGCCAAAGATTACATGCCATTATTTGGTGATCTGGAACCACAGCTAGGATTCAGAAGCATTGATGTTGAGCAATCCGATGCGCCTTACCTTCAACCCATGAGCTTTAGGCCTCGAGAGTACAAACCAAACCAGGATTCGGAGACCCTCTTCATTCCAACTGAAGCCATGGCGGGGCGTCCAGGGAGTCGTCCTCGAAGCCTAGCCACCGTCTCAGCTTCCGCAGTGTCTAGTTCCCTTTACAGCTAGCTAAGTACAGAGAGTGGGTATCCCTCGATGTACAGACGTGCCAGATTGAGTAATGCTGCGATTGGGAACAGAAGTGGGTGATTTACACCTGACTGCTCGATCCCAAACGCTGCACAGATCTGGTACCGTTGGGAGGGCTTTGCCAAAACACCATGGTGATTCGATTCCGTTTTTCCAGCGTTCATCTGGAAGCAACGAAGCAACTTTGGCGATCAGCCAAGGTCAAGATTGCACCACCTTTTGGCCCGTTTCTACACGATCAGATAGAGCTTACTCAATTTGAAAAGTGTACAGTATATGTACAAGAATTGATATGTAATCAAACAAAGTTATCCAATGTATTGGCGGCTGCAGTATTCGATTGTGGGTCCGCTATCATTGTACCGGACCGCAGTTGTTGTGTACTAGTATCGAAGTTGTTGTTTTTTCCCGTGGATGCTTTCTTAAAGGCAAGGTGTGACATGTTTTAGCCAGCAACGAAAATTTCAGCTCCGTCCACTTATAATTACGGCGTCTCTCCTCCCTCATGCTCCCTGGCTGTCTCTTCCATTCGCTGCTGTCGCCCTCGTCTGCGTTTGCTTGTTTGTCTCCTGTACAGTACGTAGTCTATCATTTACATTTATATTCCACCATGCCGTCCTCTAGCGCTCCCCGTTTTCTGGCGAATATCATGAAGAAGGAGAAGAAGAAACGGGTCATCAAGGAAGACAGCGAGGATGATGACGACGACGACGATGGAGTCAACGACAAGACGGGCGTATTGAGCGATAGCGACGACGATGTGCGGAAAACGAGAAGTGGCAACAAGCGCCCCAAACGAGACGACAAGAAAAAGTCAAACATTCCGCGCAAACAAGACGACACTACTGCTATAAGCGTTCCGAAAATCAAAAAGAAGAGGCCGGAAGAAGAAAAAGGCGATAAGAAGAAGACGTCCAGTAGTTTGATTCAAAACATGCAAGCCGCTGAGGCCGCTCCAACTAAGAAGGAACCCAAGAAGGAATTTCGAAAGGACGACTCCAGCATCCTCACACCGACGGCTGCTGCTGCTGCTACTACTACTAGTACAAGTGGCTTTCAGAATCGAGGCAACAAGGATGCCACCACCAGCAGTCGAGAATTTGGGATTGCTGGAAAGAAAGACAACAGCAACAACAATAGTGCCACCAAATCATTTGATTACAAGGAATTCAAAAAGGAAGCATTCAAGAAAGAAGCATTCAAAAAGGAACAAACAGGAGGAGAACAACTGTCTCTCAAAATGTCTCCCCGCAGCAACAAACAAGCACCACAGCAACAGCAACCAGACAACCACGAAGCGTTTCCCAAAGTGGCCAGTCCTGCCATGCCACCGCCCAAACAGCAACAACCACAACAACCCGCGGCCACGCTCGATTTGATTGTCAAACCATCCGAAGCACCCAAACCTGTCATGACCGAAAAGGGACGCAAGATGATGAAATCACTCGACAAGCTATGCCATTCGCTCGCGGACAGTACCCATTTTCAACTCATTCTACATGGCAGCAGTACCACCACCATAACTAGCGGCAGCAGCGGCCCCCACATTGATCTCAGTGGCATGTTTTCACGAGATGAAACACAAATGTACGATTTCTTTGATACCAACGACGAGGGCGATATTGTCATGCCACCCAAAATTCCAATCTTTCCGGAAGAATTCCCACCCGGATTTCAGGGACACTCGTTGCATTGGTGGGGCATTGTCGATCCTGCCGTGGGAGCTCGCAGTAACAACAACAACAATAATAAGCATGGCAAACGAGACGACGATCGACGACGAGGAGGACGTCGCAGCAGTCCCGGACGAGAGCAGCATCACAACAACAACCGAAATAATAATAATAATTGGGGATGGGAGGGCAATCGCCATGCCGGTTGGGGTGGTGGTCCCCCACCCGACTATTTCGATGGAGGAGGAAGACCACGGGGAGACAATTATCATCGCGGAGGACCACCACCCCAGTCTCGAGGAGGAGGAGGAGGACGGGGTCCTATGGATCGCGGTGGTGGAGACCGCCGAGGGCCACCGCCGTCGTCACAAGGGCGTCGGTAGATCCATCCAGTATACGGCAGCCGAGACACAACATACAGTACCTGCGTGCCAGGAGCACCTTTGACAAGCCATTCTATTTACGTGCATTTTCGTTTAATCTAAAATAACGATCTTTCTGCTTGAAGTGCTTCAAGTGTGGATGGTGGAACACTTAAAGGTGTTTGGGAGATGAAAGAAAACTTGTCTGGGTGCATTCACTTGGAGGAACATCAGCCAGGAGTACGGTACAGTACCGTACAGAACATACTGGTAGTTCAAGGTAATCAGAGAGACACGAGAGTGACAAGTGGGACGGCATCCTACTAGGTCCTTTACAACAGAACGCCAGTGGACTGACTGGAATGGTGGTTGATGGGCACTGAATAGAGTGGAGTCCAGTTGGTTTATGTCGGTGCTCTAGCTAGGGAATCCATGATTGTAACATCTTCCCAATACCGGTAGCCAGCTCTGTCCCTTTTGACTCCGGGGCTACTAGAGCAGAGGATTTCCAGGTTCTGAGCTTCGTGCACTACCCAAACTACGAGTACTTTGTGGGAACTCCCTGCATGTAGAGACATTGCACTCTCATTTTGACAACTACTGAGCATCCACTGCTGTCGCCGCCTGGTCCAAGACATTCCTGACTAGCGTCATTTCCTTGTGGTCCAGAGTCTTCCATGTTCCCTCCTGTTTCAACGGTTGGAGAGTGATTCCCATGAATTGCACGCGATGCAACTGCACGACCGAGTATCCCAAGGCCGCCATCATTTTTCGAATTTGTCGGTTCCTTCCTTCGACCAAGGTCATGACGACTCCTCGACGCTTGGTTTGTGGAATGCGGTCCACGCGACACGGCAACGTGGGAGCCGTCAGAGGCTTGCCTCGATTCCCATCGCGTTGAGCCACCGTCGTAATGACGACGCCAGTTCGCAATTGCTGCAAGTCATTGGGTTGAATGGGTCTATCCACCAGTACTTGATAGACTTTGGGTTGTTTGAATTTACCCCGGAGTGCCGAATTGGGCAATCGACCATCGCTCGTCAAGAGAATGAGCCCCGAGGTATCCTTGTCGAGACGTCCCACCGGATAGATACGATGTTGTGGATGGCATCCCCGTCGTTGAATCAAATCGTCAATGATATTGGTGGGGATGGATCGATCGGTGGTGCAGGTGATTCCTCGTGGTTTCCAGTACTTGATGTACTCAAACGTTTTGGTAGTGGACGTAGTAGAAGTAGTGGAAACACTGTTCTTTCCCGACTTTTTGTTGTCATTTCTTCGACTGGTGGCATGGTTTGTCTTGGTCAATCCGTTCATGGCTTCCCATCCCTTAATGACCACCCCATCCAAGGAAACTTTGTCGATAAAGGGTTTGACCTTGAAGCCTCCTTTTTGATGGACCGGTTGTCCATTGACGGCAATCCGACCACTATCAATCAAGGCATCGGCTTCTCGTCGCGAATGGGTCGCCTTGAAGACTTTGTTCAGTCTTATACTATTGTCGTTACTGTTGTTGTTGTTGTTAGAACTGCTATGGGCATGAGATGGGAGGAGGGAGGATCTGGAATGGCCAACGGTAGTCCTTGCAGAGGTAGTGGAAATGAATGCAAGACAAAAAGTGGGGGCAAATTCCAGAACACTGGCCAACAGTAGACACGCGGAATACAGTTGAAGGAGATGGACACTCGGCGTCCGTGTACTCGTATGTTTTCGTGGTGGTCTTCTCATGGTCTTCATTGGAGCTAATACTTCCTGGTTGCGTTTCTTTTTCTTGACTTACTTGATGGGCTGCGAGTTCATGGCTGATGCGTAGCTGTTGGATCTTCTTGGTATTTTTAGGGTTAGAGTTCATGTCGAAGGGAAATTTTGGCTCTCCGTCGTCCTTTCTGTTCCTCCTTTCCAGGCCAGAGCACCGGCGATCTCGAGGAGCCACAATAATCACAATGTCATGGTAGAGGCAGGCAGGCACCACAGCAGTGAAAGTACTACGGTGTAGAGACTGCCATGCCATTTAGGTCTCCACGACCCGTCAAAGATGGCTGAAACAGTGCCCCGCGACAGCGGAAACGTTCAGTGCCAATGACATCCAATTCACATCTGACATCTGACTGTTCGAACGACTTTTCCACCAGAGCTGGACTCTCTTTTGACTTGCTCATTTCCTCGTGGACACACCGATGGCTAACATCAGCTTTGAAATGGAAAAAGCAATCGATATCATTGTGTGGCGGGCAACGATTTCGAAGCATCCTTTAAGATTGTCGCTATCTCAAGCCCCAGTCCCTCACTGGTTCCATACAACCGCCCACACAGTTCAAGCGGGCTTTCTACTGCGATGCTGGATTGCTTGATGTTTGCCCGTGGGAGAGGAGGGTGGGAGTTGCAACCATGCTTTAAGAGTGACTGTAACGCCTCAACGTTTTTGTTCAAGACAGCCCAATGAACAGCTGTTCTCGACCAATGGTCTCGCCAGTCAACACTCCTGTCACGCTCTTCCCGCTGGCCCCGTTGAGCTTTCCACAGCGGCATGGCATAATCAATCAATTCAACGTTTCCAGCTCTGGCAGCGCAATGCAGAAGAGATTGTTTGTTCCCGTCCTTCATCAACATCGGTGCCCCGGCTTCCAACAAGTGCTGAGCGCATTTGAGTCTTTGACGATTCTCTTCGATTGTGTAGACATGTTGGCTGGCATTTTCACCGGATGCCGCGAGGTGAAGTGGGTAGGACCCCGAAGCATCGGGACAAGCAATTTTGGCCCCTTTCTGTAACAAGACAGAAACCAAGGGTGCATTTCCTTTCAATGCCGCGAGGTGGAGTGGACCAGATCGAAACATTGCCCTCCGATTGTTTCGACCCGACACTTTCCCTAGACGGCCGCCATGATCCCCCCAATTGGGATCAGCACCTGCATGCAGCAGTCCCACTGCCAGTGATGTCTGCCCCCGCGTCGTTGCCAACAATAAAGCATCATACAGCCCAGAGTCATGGTGCGATGCAATCCCAACCGTAGAGCTTTCCACTGATGATGGTGTCTTGCTCTTTGCTTCGTTGCCATGTTGGCACTCCTCCCCTTGTCGAAGCCTGCCAACGCCGTTCTCATCAAGAAAATCGACGTATTGGCCCAATGTTTCAGCTCGGATCAAGTGCACCGCAGAAAAGTGGCCTTCAATTATCCCATATTTGCCGCCGAGGTGGCGAGTATTGTTCACTCCGTGATGGTGTGCGTACAGCGCTCTTGCAATCCTTGTCGCTGCTAGGGAATCGCCACCGAGCATGCCGAATGAGACTGATGTTGTCAGCATGGCTTGTTGGCAAGGTTGAAGGTTTAAAGAGGAAGTGATTTGTTCGGCAACAAAGCTCCCCACTGTCCCGTAATCCCGCAAAATTATTTCTGTCGCTTTGTTTTCCATGTGTACACATTCACTCAAGTTTGGAAGCCCTGCAACATTCCTCTTTCCCGTGGGCGACAAAGGAATCATTGGAACGAAAACAAACGCCGACGGCGTACAACCTGCTCGTACCTTGTTTTGGCACCGGGTTCGCAGCAGTGTGAGCATGGCGCTGGAATTGCAGAGAACGCCTGGTCCCCTAGCAAGCATCTCACGAATTCCAAGCTCGCTGGCACAGGTTTGGCTGACGACACAATAGGCATGGAGTTCCGGAGTGCTTCGTTCTTCGTCATTGTTGTTGGTTCCGGCAACCACAGCTGCATTCACAATCACTGGAAGATCCAGTCCATCGTGTTTCTCTAATCCTTCTGTTATCGACAAGCGGTCGTCCACGAGCGCCGCTTCAATCTCCCCAAGTTCCACTCTCACCCCGTTGATTTTCATCATCCCTTCCTCTCCCCCAATTCTCCCCAACATTATCAGGTCGCCACTGTTGTGTTCAATATACCCCCTGTCTCCCGTTCGATAATAGCAAACGGTAGACGAATCTGCAAGTCGTACAAACTTGAGTTGACTTTGCTCTGGTCGATTCCAATAGCTGCTCCAGTCATCGAGCTGGGACCCGTACAGCACCACTTCACCAATATTGTTGCTGGGCAAAACATCCACTAGTGTTTCTTGATCCTCCTCTTTGCAGATGCGCACGTGCATGCCTCCAAAGGGCTGACCCACATTCTGGCCCCTTTGTGCTGTCGTTGTTGTTGATGTGGTGATTTCGCCCATGGTCTGGTACACACAAGCTTCGGTCACGCCATAGGTTGCAAATAAACGACAAGAAGCAGGGTTTGATTCCTCCTCATTATTATTGGGTGTGGTTCTCCTCGCCCATGTCTGCACAATCTGTTTGGGAATGGGTTCTCCTCCGAGTGCCACCAATTGCAAAGAAGAATGAGGAGCAAAGTCGTCCTTGGGTGCTGTCACCTTTCTATTATTAGAATCGTGACTGCTACTGCTCATCATGGTACTCCACAAGGTGGGTGTACAAAGTACATGCGTAATGCCAAGGGTTGCCAGTACGGTGGCCAAGTTTTGTGACAAGTCGGCACGAGTGGCCATTCCCAGTGTGGCACGGGCCTGAAAGGTGGCCAAAATGTCGGATAAGCACGGATCAAAGGAGACGGCACTCGCCAACAGGACGGTAGATTGTCGTGTAATGCCATGCAGACGATTCTTTTCGTTGATGTACCAGTGGAGCGAGTTTATGGAAGAGAGAGAACCTTTGGGCTGACCCGTGGAGCCCGATGTGTATGCTACGTGGGACAATCTATTCGTCGTCGTTGTTGTCGTTGTTGATTGAGGAAGGATGATGGATGATTCTTGTTGACGTATGTGACGGCTGAACTGAGCAACGACGGTCTGCAGGGTTTCAACTCCCGACCATTGAGATTGCAGTTGGTCCATTAGAGATTGTCGTGTGCTGTTGTTTTCTTCCAGCAGTGAGCGACTGGCCGTTGCTGCTTCCCTCGCCAGGCTGGCAAAATCGAAAATGGTGGAAGTTTTCGCTTGGAACATTTCTGTATTGAGGGCACCCTTACTTGCGCCCGATTGGTTTCCTCCTGTTTCATCGTTTTGTCGAAGGGACCCCACAATGTCTTGCAGACGTTGACGGTCTGGTTCCAAGCACAAAATCACGGCGGGTTGGGTTTCCGCCAACATGTGCCGTATTCGATCTTTTCCTTCGCCAGGTTCAATGGGAATCAGAAATGCATAGGCCGCATCCTTACTACAACTGTTTTTGCAAATCGAAAAAGGAACATTGAGGGCATGGACGGCGAGAATGGCCAGCGGTAGAAAGGGGCCTTCCGGAATTGCGACGGCCAGAGGGATCGCGGTCAGCGATGGATCATCTTTCTGGGACACAGATGGCGATGATGAAACAACTTCTTCAATTTTTCGTTGTAACAGGTAGACGATATGGCTCGTCAACAATAGGACTGTTCCGTAGGATAGAGAAGGCAACTCCAATTGATTTTGGCTGGTTGCATCGGCAGTGGATGGACCTTGCAAGGGAAAATCCTGCAGAAAATCCACCTTCCAGTAGTCACAGTTGGATCTTCCTGATTGCTCTACCAGCCCTTTGCTCCACACAATGGCTGGTCTGGACAAGCCATGGCCGTCATCTTCGGAGGTCATGGCACCTCCAATCTTTTTCATCTCTGAAATGGAAAATGGATGCGTGAGACAACGACAACTGATCATTTGAAGCCATCAAGGCTGCTAAAGTTAAGAGAGTGTTGGAGTTCGAAGGAAGATAGAGGAGGTGATGTTGACAGTCTTCTCGAAGAGCCAAAGTACATGTACCCTACATCTC